TTTATCATTTAATCTGTGCCTTATAATTTGAATTATTTGTCAATCCAAATTCAATTTATCCATGCAAATAGGACCGAATCAGTGAAATGCACTGCTTTATATGAATTCAATCTCATGACCAATATGAAGGAATCATCCGAGCACAGTGCACTGTCAAATAGAGAGCATTTGAGAAGATGGTTAGTTAGAAGTATACCGTCACCTCCTAAACAATGAAGTAAAATACAAAAGCAAATGGAGAAAGTTGCAGCTCAAATAATAACTCACTGATTGTATTAATCCATCTGCAGAACAAGAGGAGAATGATGATTTATTGCCAGCAACATACTTCAGCCAAAGGAACAGACTTGCACTTCAACTTGTCCTGAAGTCAAAGGCAAATTGATTCATCAAAAAAATTTAGAACTGACTGTGTTCTTAGATCACCGTTTCAAAAAACCATTGGTCTAAACTTACGGCAGATTCTCCCAGAAAGAGCAATAATAATAATAAAAAAAAAATCAATAAAATTCCTGAAATTATTTTTCATCATAAGCCTGAAAACAGCTTCACTGTTGGTGTACCGTTTACTTTTTACAAACTTCATTGATTAAAATTGCACAAGTAATAGGGAAATAAAACAAAATATAGTTATCATAACTGAGGATTAAAGAACATTGCTGCTAATGATGAAAGCAAGCCACACCTCTCCATGTTTTTGCAGCACTGTTGCTTTCTGTACCTTAAACAACAACAGAAGAAAAAAAAATTTCTCTCGACAGTTGATGCCTGCGGGATTCACACAGAAACGTGCCAAAGTTGATACTTTCAAGCTAACTTAAATAGCTGTGATCCTACCAGTGAATGTTGTTGTAATTCATGATATGAAACAAAACCACATGAAATGTTAGTGCAAAAGTGATTTCCATACACATGCTGTTTCAACATTTTCATTGGATATTCTACAGAAACAGATGAGGCATTTGGCTTGGGAGAACCTGAAAGTAGAATCATTGCAAATTGTTTTTTAGCATTGTAATTTCATTCCTGCAGCAGTTGA